TGCAAATCACAATGTTTTGTATTTTAAATTTCTTTCCATTTTTTTAAAAAGTCTTTCATTAGAGCAGTATTGGAAAATAGGATTAGTTTCTCAATGGACAATGTTTTCCTATACCAAATCTTAGCAAGCATGATTTTTACCAAAGATTCTGTTCTTTTCTTTAAAGTTTAAGTCTTTGTCGTCTCTCACACTCTCTGAGGCCATTGAGAATAACTGAAAAGTTTCAATTGTCTGATTTATGGCTACAGTTTCCCTTATTCTACACATTCATTGCTGTTGCTGGAGAGAGCTATATGGCCACTCTGCTTAGAGGCTTTAAAAAATAGGTTGGCTTGACTGATAAATCAAAATGTGTTGTGTTTTCACCTGAATTTCAGTTATGAGGAGTAAGTAAAACTGCTCCTGTCAAAGGGATGTCAACTTGGCTCTAGGAAGCAAACTTTTCTGACAGTCTCTGTGCACGGTATGAGCTACTGAATGACTGCCCCGTTGTTTAGTAATTGACCCTGACATCAGCGAAAAATTAGAGGTAGAGGGTCTAAAGAGATGAACAAGTGATACAAAAAACCAAACAGGGAAATCGAAGAACACAGAGCAAACACAGTGTTGTTTTCTGCCTAGTGACCAAGTCATTTTCATTTAACATCAACTGCATGCATGCTAATTTTGAAATAGGAGAAAATCCAAAACAAGATTTTGTTCAGATACTTCTTCTGTCAGCTTCAGTGGTTTTCGCTGTCTATATGAGCATATACTACATTCATAGAGAAAACAGGTAAACACAAATTCACACTCGTTCATAGTTTGTGTTTGCAGTTCCTGACATGGCATCTTACACTAGTGTGAAGCTCTGTAGTTCACTCATTCATTCGCATAACATGAGGAGCACTTATTAAGCACCTACTCTGCCCAGATGGTAATGGTTTGTCAGTGAAGAAAGCAAAGCCTCTCAAGGGGCTGACTCTGATATCACTACAATGATTGCAAATTCTGCCTTCAGTGAGCAAAACTCTAGATCATCAAACGTGGTCTTCAGGTGTTTATAACCTGCAGCCAGCAGCCTGCCCTAGAAAGTGTGTTCTGCACCTTCTTGGCTGACTAACCTTGGGCAAGCTGCTTATTAGTCATTTTGTGCCTCAGTTTATTTCTTAATAAAATGGTAATATGAGATGATAGATGTGCTGATGTATGTGAGTTAGTGTAAGTTCTTAGATCAGTCTCTACAGTAATAAGCACAATGTAAGTATGAGATATTGCTTGATAAGAGGAATTGATCCACATTTCACCTATTAACAAATAGCCCTAAGTCAAAAGGGGTAGATAATGAAACCCAAGGTACAATATGAATGGATTATTGATGTATTGTTTTGCTTGGTGTGGATTATAGAAAGTAACTCAGTGGTTAAACTAGTTATTTCTAATATGTATCTCTGCCCCATTTGCTCATGTGTAAAGAAGAGACAACAATGGCCTTCTCCACAGTAGTTCTGTGAGGAGTGGTCCATGTAAACCCATAGCAGTCCCTGCTGAATAGACAGTTATTAAACTGTGGTCACTGTAACCTGATAGTATAGAATGAGCAGCTCTGATTAGATTATATCACAGGAGAGCATGTTAGTACAGGATAGCATGTTAGTGCAGGAGAGCATGTTAGTGCAGGATAGCATGTTAGTGCAGGAGAGCATGTTACTACAGGATAGCATGTTAGTGCAAGACAGCATGTTAGTACAGGATAGCATGTTAGTGTAGGAGAGCATGTTAGTACAGGAGAGCATGTTAGTGCAGGAGAGCATGTTAGTGCAGGAGAGCATGTTAGTGCAGGAGAGCATGACTTTCATGAAGAGTTCTTCAAACAGTTAAATGTATGTTGACTCCATGACTCCAGGAGCCCATGTATATGGATTTCCATAAACTTATTCTGCAATGGTGTTCCCTTACATTTACAAATCTCTTTTTGCTAAATTTTGTCTGGATTTTTTAACTGAAATTGACCTTTGAAAATATCTTCTCTGATATATTTTGTTAGTAAGATTGTAACTGAATTAATATAATGATGGAATCACTTATCCTTAATTTTATGTTTTCTAAAATGATTCCTTTTTTAAAAATATGATACCAATCCCTGTTTAATGAATTACTGGCTTCAGTCTTTTTGTGCTGTCTAGGTCTATTGCTTGCTCTCAGTTGTTATTCATAAAGTCTATTCTTTAACAAATTCCATCTTCAATGGAATTTTTTCTTATGTCAATATTTGTTCTTTTCACCTGGCTCAAACCACAATCATTTATTTTATCAAGTCCTTTAAATGTATTAGTATATAATAACTGAATAGCAATTTTTAATTTTAATCTACATTAAGTCAGTCATTATTTATCCTGTTGATATTTAACCTAGATTTCTTATTTTCTGTCTTGGATAACCTTTCTATTGATATTTCAGATATGGTAATATTACTAATCACCTGAAATTTAAGCTCTTAACATCAATGAGTTTTGTCTTTCCTATTTATTTTCTTCATTTTCTTTTTTGGTGTTACTGTTTTTTTTTTTTCTTTAGCTTTGCTCCATGGTTCTGTCAGGCTTCTTGTGTTGTCAAATAATCAATTCCCTGGAAACTGTCAAACCTGTAAATTTCTTCTAAGCATTATTTTTTTCACATACCATAAACTTTGGAAAATAATACCTACAATATCCCTTTATTATAAATGTTGAGATTTCCTTTATAATTCCTCCCCAATTTTCTCTGTAAACTAAAATTGAACTAATAGGTCTTAGATATATATTATATATATTATATATATTTATTATATATTATACATATAATTATATTATATATAATTATATTATATATAAATTTTGTGAATTTCTTTGATTACTGACTTTGATACTGAATCTAGCTTTGAGAGAAAATTGTAATGTAATTTTTCTAGTAATTCTGTACAGGGAATGCTCTAGAACTCAATATCCACAATTTTTATACTCATATGATCAAGCTTAATAACTCACACAACATCATATTCTTTAAAAAGTTGTGAATAAAATGTATATGTGTATGTGGTTTTTCAAATGTTCACCTAAATTTAGGTAAGAGTATTCTATATATAACACCCTATACTTGATTAAGATTTCAAGATATGTCATATTTCTGAAATGTGGTTGATACATATTGTACCCCAATAAACTTATCTGTGGGTCAGAGAACAGAACAGCCACTATATTAAACATAGGTTTAGGCAGTGGTAGCACACACCTTTAATCCTAGCATTCCAGAGGCAAAGATCCGTCTGAATCTCTGAGTTCAAAGTAACACTGGAAACAGCCAGGCATGGTGACACATGCCTTTAATCCCAGGAAGTGATGGCAGGAAGCAGAAAGGTATACAAGGCGTGAGGACCAGGAACTAGAGCCATTAAGCTTTTAGCAGCAGTTCAGCTGAGATCCATTCGGATGAGGATTCAGAGGCTTTCAGTCTGAGGAAACACGATCAGCTGAGAAGTTGGCAAGTTGAGGTTGGGTGTGGCTTGTTCTGTTTTCTCTGATCACTCAGCGTTCAACCGAATACCTGGCTCCCAAGTTTTTTTATTAATAAGACCTTTTAAGATTCGTGTTACCCTGAAATTGATGTTATATCATTTTAGAAAAAAAAAACTATGAATTTCAGGGGTCTTACAAGAACGCTATTAAGAAATAATCTTGGGAGCCAGGTGGTGGTGGCACACGCCTTTAATCCCAGCACTTGAGAGGCAGAGCCAGGTGGATCTCTATGAGTTCAAGGCCAGCCTGGTCTACAGAGCAAGATCCAGGACAGGCACCAAAGCTACACAGAGAAACCCTGTCTCAAAAAAACAAAACAAAACAAAAAACAAAAAAGAGAAGAAGAAATAATCTTGTAATAATCTTGTAAATATATTACATGTGACATTCATATGTCCATATTCATAAAGAGACTTAAATGTAAAAGAAAAACTTTCAGTATACACACACACAAAAGACAAATGGCTCACTGATTTAACCGCAAGCTAAATTCAGTCAATTAATGTTTTTCTCCATGATGTATATCTTTATTTTAAGAATCTTATTTATGATAATATACAAAGGATAAGCTTGAAGCCCTAACACCTGACAAATGAGTTTGTTCTAATGACAACAGAGTGCTTGATTATTAAATACTGCTAACTACTTAGTTTACTACAAGGGTATTGACACAAAAATGTCAGATAAATGTGAAATGTATAAATAAAAAGAGAAAAACAACAGTAGATTTATTAATGTGCTTATTTACCAAAAGAAGATATCAAGGACACATTTCATCACATGACTATCTTGATGCATTTCTATATAAAGAGTAAAAATAAACTTTTACCCAGAAGGAAATATGAACTTTTCAAAAACTTTAATAGTCTCCTAACTTTACTCTGATTGTAAAAGTATGTTACGATCTTATTTATTTTTTTATTTGTTCTTTGAGAATTTCATACACAGTACTGTAACGTATTCTTTTCCATCCTCCAACCCCTTCTAGATCTCCGTCCTTACCCTTTCAACTTCATGTCATTTCTCTTCCTTAAAAAGGAAGTTTTCAAAGCATAGTTGTGAACAAGCAAATCTGCCACTGGGAAATGTTTGCAAATCTTACTGAGTGACACTAATAAGCTCGTCTGTGGTTTTAATAATGGTGATCAGTTTTGTCAGGTTTTTTTTTTTAGAAACAAAACCAGAACAGGTATAGAGATCACTGAAGCAGTGGTTAACCTGACTTCAAGATGGGTGCTGAGAGTGAATTCTGATTTATGCTTTCTAGGCTGGAGTTTCTGGGAAACTTCCACTTAAGAGCAGTTTTCTGCCTAAATGAAACCTATTTCTCACAGTGGTTGTTAATACTGAAAGAAATTACAGTTGATTTCATGATTACGACAGTCTTAATATTTCTCTTAAATTATATTTATAATTTCATTTTTTTGTTCCTATCTTTACCTTCCCTTGTCTTTCTCTTTTCCGCAGGAAAAAAGTATGACCTCAACATCCAAAGGCATTCTCCGTCCATTTCTAATTGTCTGCATTATCCTGGCCTGCTTCATGGCGTGTCTGCTCATTTACATCAAACCCACCAACAGCTGGGTCTTCAGTCCAATGGAGTCTGCCAGTTCTGTGCTGAAAATGAAAAATTTCTTTTCCACCAAAACTGATTATTTTAATGAAACCACTATTCTGGTGTGGGTGTGGCCATTTGGGCAGACCTTTGACCTTACATCCTGCCAAGCGATGTTTAACATCCAAGGGTGCCATCTCACGACAGACCGCTCACTGTACAACAAATCCCACGCGGTCCTGATTCACCACAGAGACATCAGCTGGGATCTGACTAATTTACCTCAGCAGGCTAGGCCACCCTTTCAGAAATGGATTTGGATGAACCTAGAGTCTCCGACTCACACTCCCCAGAAGAGTGGCATCGAACACTTGTTCAACCTGACTCTAACTTACCGCCGTGATTCCGATATTCAAGTGCCTTACGGCTTCTTGACGGTGAGCACAAACCCCTTTGTGTTCGAAGTGCCAAGCAAGGAGAAGTTGGTGTGCTGGGTCGTGAGTAACTGGAACCCTGAGCATGCCAGGGTCAAGTATTATAACGAGCTCAGCAAGAGTATTGAAATCCACACCTATGGGCAAGCATTTGGAGAATACGTGAATGATAAAAACCTGATTCCCACCATATCTACTTGCAAATTTTATCTTTCTTTTGAAAACTCAATTCACAAAGATTACATCACAGAAAAGCTCTATAATGCATTTTTAGCCGGCTCAGTACCTGTTGTCCTGGGACCATCTAGGGAAAACTATGAGAATTATATTCCAGCTGATTCATTCATTCATGTGGAAGATTATAACTCGCCCAGTGAGCTGGCAAGGTATCTGAAGGAAGTTGACAAAAACAATAAGTTGTACCTTAGCTACTTTAACTGGAGGAAGGATTTCACTGTAAACCTCCCACGATTTTGGGAGTCACATGCATGCCTGGCTTGTGATCATGTAAAAAGGCATCAAGAGTATAAGTCTGTTGGTAATTTAGAGAAATGGTTTTGGAATTAAAGTTTCCATCATTTTCACATTTAATGAATTGTAATAATGTAACATCATTCAAGTTGTGAGGCTAAGAAGAGAAACAATTTGCTTTGTGTCACAGTTTATTTTTATCACCCTCTCTTGAACAACATGTATATTTTGATGGAAATTTTTAAGAGCTCAAAATTAGCAATCACTCCATTTGGTTTTAAATTATCCTGTATATATGTGATAATGAACACTGAAAATAATTTATTCTTCATTCTCATTTGTAAACATTCTTTTTCACATTTTATAGTTGCCTGTAAAGTAAATTTATGATTCAATTGTTTCTGCATCAATAAGATCTTTAAACTGTTTGGGAAATGGAAATGTATATCCTAAAATATGAAAGATTTTTACCAAGTATTATAATGTCTAGATTCTAGCTCACGAAATGTTAACAAAGAAGGATCAAAGTATCACTTCATTCTTAACCTCCTTGACTTAACTGATGTAGTTTTTACCTGTTTACCATATTTGTGAAGGCAGACTTACTCATGTAGTAAATAAGAAAGATATGAAGCAGAAATGTTATTAGACTTCACACTCATTTTCATTAAGTTGTTTTGCAAATGCAGACTCTCAACATCTTAAGTTAAAGTATCCAAGAATTTTGGGGCATACAATTTTTGTGATATTTTTAATGCCTAATAACAGCTAAGAGAAGCTTTGATTGTCCCCTTTCAAATCCTGAGCATAGTCATTGTTGTAAAAATAAACAATTTCCTCCTATAACAAGGAAAATAATATCTGCAAATACAAATAGACTATATAAATGGTAGCATTTACATAATTTTAATTATTCTCCATTTGAATATTTTCCCAAGCATCCATATTTAAAATTTTATTTTTCCATATTTGGTAATGAATAGATATAAAACTTGAAAGGTCTATCCTTATTTAAAAAAAACCTAAGCAAAATTATTACCAATGGGTCTAATATATCATAAAATATAATAAAGTACAAACTTTCAAAGGATAGACAGTACTGACACAGAGTATGATTTCAATATGTATTTGTTAAATAAATTAATTAACAGCATTGAAAAGTCATGGGTAATTTTTGCTTGTTTCAATAAAGGAACAGATCTAGCCTATGACTATTAATTGAAAATGATCTTTTTTATTCCATTTTAAAAATTATTCCTACATAGCATATGTTGCTATGATATTCAGGGCTTTGCAGAACCAATATAAACTTAGTATTGCACTGAATTTGGGGGGGTCATGCTATTCATGAACTTTCACCTGCCTGCAGAAATTCTCTTCTGTAAGTTTAGCTGAGGTAGATGGACATATGCAGATGCAGTGGATTAGAGGAAAAAAAAAAAACAGATACTGAGACTCTTACAGAAAATTATTCTCTAAAGGATTCCTAATGCTTGTGTTCTACTCTGGTCAAAATCTACAGAAAATGTAATGTTCTGATGACATCCAATTGGATCTTTTGTGGCTCATTTATAATTTTCCTATTACCTGTTACAATCAACAGAATTTACACTCACCCTCTACATAGATTACTGGGGAAGATAAATTTCAGTTCAGTAAGCAAGAACTGTGTGTCCTGTGAAAGAATGAACTTCCCTGGCAAGGGAAGTATTTAAGCAAAGAAAGACTCCAGAATTAAATAGAGACATTGATCATGCATTCATTTTTTTAGACATAATTACACAGGTAATGTTGTCAGCCCCAAACCAATACAGAAATGAAATAAAAACGAAAACATGTTTTCACTACCATAAAGGGACTGTGACACCAAGCTTCCTATAAGTTCTATCTTGTATGACTCTCAATGGAGATTGTATGAGTCATTGTTTATTTAATGAAAAAAAAAACACTACTAGTAACTTTACCCAGTTGTTTAGCTATTCAACATGTGTTGGAATTGCAAGTTCTTTCTACTCATTTGACCCAACATAGATTTTATTTCTTCTGTCCACACATTGTTTCATATATATATATATATAAAGAAAGGGTCTGTATACATGGATATTGTCCTAAAGACTCTATCATATATTTATTTGTTTAAAAGTCAATTTCATATGTGTACATCTATTCAGTATGTTTTTGATCCATAAAATGTAGGTACTTAAATATGCAAAGAGAAGCTTAGAAAGTGTTTTCTCTGAAATCTGGAAAGCATTCAATATTGTTTCCACCCACCATTGCTAAACTGAATGCTAAGAGCCTTGAAGGCAGTTGTCTCTTCTGTTGACAGTGAATCTGAGCTCATTCTTGAACTAAAACTACAACTAAATGCCAGTAATATAAGCCAAGCCAAGGCAACAAGTATTTCGCTAGTGCATCTGTACAATGAAAGCCTAATACCAAGTCATGGAAATGAGTGTATGAACTTCAAGTAAACAGTGAATGGGCCAGCTATTTAACCAGAAGAAATGACAGCAATATTCGTAAGTTAAACTCTTCTGATCTATGAGTTAATTAGATATAAAGACATTATTTACCCCTGACATATGTTGAAAGACGGGGATGTGAACATGGTGATAATAGAGATTAGAATTTAAGGGTCCTATGGTTATTAATCTCATGCTTGCCTTCACCTCATCTACACCTTATTGTTCAAATATGTCCCAATTTCTATAATGTAAATATAACATTGTCACATAGGATGATATGTTCTGGGACTTCAACTTTTAAATATATAGTAAAAAAAAACTTTAAATGTTGACACTCTTTCTGATTTAATGTTTCTGCAGTTGAACTTTAGCAGAAAGAATGAGCTTTTCTATGTGTAAGTGAGAAATAACCATTGAAAAGATATTCCAGTGACCACTTTTTTAATAAATCCTGTGATTTACAGTTTTTTAAGGATATCCCATGTGAAAGATAGATTGAGTCAACCAATCTGGCTTGCTGTTGGTTATAATAAAGACAGATAATATGCCTGATAATAAATGATGGCTCTAAAGACCATGAACAAGTTTTCATTCCAAGTGCAGAAAGTCATTACCACCAGTGTTCTGAATATTTATTCGTTAATTATTGCAGACCTTATTAGTAAGAATATGTAAATAATTATTTTAAGCCTTACTGATGAGAACATGTACTGAATTATCCATATCCATATTTAAAGAAGGAAAACATGACAGCCATATCTTGTAGGACAGCTATATGACTTGATATAAAGTAGAAACTATAAAAAAAATCTTAGTAGCAAAGTAGCAACAGTTTACAAGGTTCATATTTACTGTGAAAAGCATAGCCCTAGAATATGTGGAGCTTAGACCAAAAACCTTGAGGTATAAAATGATAGATTACTTAAGGAACTATTTGCTGAGCCTTTAAATTCTTTCTTCTAATGAAAGATTAAATAAGAGAGGAACAAAAGCAAAAAATAAATTACTGAGATTTTTTTTCACTTGTCTATTTTCAGACTAGATTCCATGGCTGTTACTCACCCAGCAAGTGTTTGATGTGAATTAATGTTTCATAAAGTTTAGTTCTCCATGTTTACTTTGTGTTTGATCATATCTGCCGCCTCTCCTGAACTCTAATCTCAAGGGAAGCGGGTGTTAAAAATTGTAATCAAGCTACTGAATACAATAAACTTTAGAAGCTAAAGGATAAGTAGTTTCTGATGAAGGAGGGGTTATTAACACATGCCTAATAAATGGTTACATCAATAAAATTAGTGGGCATGAAAAATACTTTTAATGTCAAAATACCAGCTTCTTCTGGCTAAATGAAGATAATTTTTATATTAACTTTACTGTTCCCTTTGCTCCCTGGATAGAGAGGGCAGACAGTATAAGTTCTTATCATGCTTTAAGAACCCAAAAGAGAGCCTGGAGAGATGGCTCAGAGGTTCAATTCCCAGCAACCTTCTGGGTGGCTCACAAACATCTATAATAGAATCTGATGACCTCTTCTGGCATGCAGGTATACATGCAGAGCACTCATACATAAAATACAAGTATATTAATTTTTTTAAAAGAACCCAAAAGAAACAGAATGTTAAGAAATATTAAACTACATTTGGAATTTGTTGGTATTCTACTCATCAGCTGTTTCTAGTAGAAAAGAAATTATTATGTAAAGAAGATACAAAATGAAGCACCATGATAAGCAAATATATATTATCAAACTGTGAGGAGAGAAAACAGTTATACTCTTCATCCTTTGCTAATTGCACTTGTTGCATTTTGAAGATACTGCAAACATCAGTCAGTCAGGTGATTTCTGATTGTGGCCATCTCTCCTCCAGAAATTTTATGGTACTTTGAAAATGGGTAAACTCTGCTACTATCCAAAGTGTGGTCCCTCTTTGTAATTCATATTCAATCCATCCATATTCATAAACAGTTAATAGAGTCTAAATGAGAGACACACTATTAAACTAAAAATATAAGTAATTCTAACCTAGGCTATCATTGCAACAAATTGTAGCATTGAAAAAGTAACTTAACCTCTATGGATGACTATGTCTGTAAAGATTCCTTCAGCACCACTGCTCTTTAATATAAGGCCTAAATTGATATGTGCATAAATTTGAATTTCAAATTTCCTTGACCATCTAGAAATATTTTTGAAAGTTAATACTCTAAATAGAATTTCTTCTTATTTCTCTACAAAAATATATAAATATTTAAAACGTGAAACTGGTTACTCTAATAATGGAAAGAACATAATCTTGCTTCTTTACTGAAGCTTACAATGTAGCAAGTGCTCAATTAACTAATCTTTCTCCTTTATATTCTTCTTCTTAGGTCTTTTGTAACACACTTTTTTGAGAACTTGATTTCCTGTAGAAAATCAATCATATACTGAACCCTGTTCTAAAACATTTCAGGTTTTTCTGTACTATTAAAATTCTTACTATAGTAATCAAAACTATTTATTGATGCAAAACTCAGGAAGTCAGTGGAAATATGTCAGGCAGTTCTTCAACAACAAGAATATATAGTTTGAGTGTATAAGATTGTGAGTGTGTATTTAGAAATTTTATTCTTTTAACCCATGACTAATGTTCATTCATTTAACATACTTGTATTTTAATGTATTTTAATTTAAAATGAAATTCCCTACCAATAATTTTTAAAGCATTACACTTTTCCCAAGCAATGTGATCTAGAGTTTGTAAGAGAATTTACTCATAACTAACAACTGATTCCTGTTCCATGCAAGTGGAACCACTCCAACTAAGAATCAAAAAGAAGGAAGAAGGAAGAAGCCATGCTATTAACACAAAATTATCCTGTGCCTGCCAGGGGTTCTCAGACTCACATCTGCCTTGGGGACTCCCTATATCAATGGTATAAGAATCATTTACATGATTTGAAATATCATTATGATATATGACATTGATGCCCTAGGTCCATAATTTTAATAACTCCCTTGACAATTCTGACATGTTGCTAGTGTTGATAGTCTCTGTCCTGCTTATTAAATAGAAATCATTCTATATTGAATCAATACAGGCATAAGATACTGCCATCTTTAGCTAACTTGGAATCTTAGATATATTGATAGGTATTATTGTATTTCATAACTCATGATGTTCCACATGGTTAATTATGTCTTGCACAGTTGTACTGTTCTTCAGCTAATCCTATGATTTAGGACAAACTATTTACCATTTCTAGCTGTTTACCTGGAGAAATTTTCTTTTACTCTTTCCCTTAGTTTTTAAATGCATTTTTTTTTAAATTTTTCAGCATAAAAACAAGGGTAGACAGTTATAAGGATCTCTTGCAGCCATCAAACCATTGAACATGCTTGACCCATTGCTTTTCTGGGTCTCAGAAGCCTGTGTGATAGCTAGGATATGGCAACAAGTTATAACACTGTAGATTGTCCACAATGATGAATTCAAAATTAAATGTGAGCTATGCAATCCACTAGCTGTTCATCTCTGTTAGTATCAGGTTCTCTGTATGTATGATAGGGGTAGCCTATTTTAAAAACAAATGAATGCCTCCCTAAAAAAAATAGACAATGATATATACATATATTTATGTGTATATGTGTGAGTGTTCCACCACTAAGATACACTCTCAGTTATAAAAGAAAATAAGAAAAATCTAGAACATATCCAAATTTCAGCTCTAACATCTGTTGGTGTTAAGCTGGAAGCTCACAAAAATTGCTGAAAATTTAAACAATCAAAGGGCGAATACTGAATAGAAGGGATATGCACACTCACAGTGTGGAAACATGCAGTAACAGCTACTGGAGTTAGAAAGTACTGGGCGGGCTTCTGGGTGGTGGATAGACAGCTTGCCTCACTAAGCACATATAGCATCTCCTAAAATAAGCAGGCCTTCTTTTCTTCACTGTTTTGAGAAATCAGTAAATTAATATTAATTTAGCACGTTAGCAGTCCATAGAGCTAAAGTCCAAGGACGGAATAGCAGATACATTCTCAGAGATCATTTTCTGGTGAGGAAATTTAGAAATATCCAACAACCTGACTGAATACTTCACATCAACTGCTGGCTTAGGCACAGAACCAGCTAAGGGTAATTTACAAGAGAACCCTGCCTCCCTTTACCTTTCCTAAAGATTACAGAAAATGAAAGAGTCAAAATGTTAAGATATAAACTCATTAAACAGAAATTAATTTGTTCAGTCGTGCAGAAATTAAATAATTTATCCAGGCTGTGATTAAGACTCTTCTAACTGCATGATAAATGGGGCTTTGACACGAACAATCTCAGCTGTGTGTGTGTATATATATATATAATTTTTGAGTTGAATGGCCCAAAAAGATAGATTTAAGGAATATTCTCACATGTAAAAAAGAGTGATATTTAAAATAATATATTAATTATTTTGATTTTGTTTCTTTAAAGATATTAGAAATGTTATATCTTATTAGAAAACCTCAAAAATTGATTGTTTACTGAATTCTCAGGCAACTGAATATTTTTGAATTAACTGAACATGTAATGGACATTAAATAAGAGGCTAGAGTTTTAATTGTGAAAAACAAACACAGTGAAAAAAAGTGTTGCAGGTGATTTCTATAGAATCTAAAATTGGAGAAGCATGTTAACTTTTTTACTCTTGCCTGAATGCCATTTTGATTAATGAGGGTGTAGCAGCTAGATAATCAGGCTTGGCAAAAATGGTTCACAAAGACTCAATTAACATCCAAGACCCAAGACTACTTATTCTGTAAGAAATACACACACGTTAAAATGTATCCCCTGTCTCAAACTGGCCTCATTAGCTCCCTTTAACCCATAGTTGAGACAACCCTAGAGATGACATCATTGTCAATGTAAGATCACCAAAGGAGTGCTCTTGTGGGTTAGGATATTATGTATCTCCATGGACTATGTTGAGACCAGAGTCCAGACTACTTAATTGTCTACAGAAAACTAGAAGCCATCAATTTCATAAGAAAACATGATTTATCACAGATTCTAATGCATTGTTTTAAAAAAATTAATCAAGGGACAATATTATGTTTTTCTTCCTTTTCTTTTGCTGTGTCTTAAAATCATGTGGATAATAGAGTGTGACAATATAAAAAATGTTTAATAGAGTTCCTAAAAATCAAAGGAGGTATAGGGGGAGGTAAAAGGCAACATACCCCCTTTCATAAATACACTGATCACACTTTTAAAATTCAATTATCTTTTCAGTAATAATGTGGTTTATTCCCTGTCTGTACCAGCATGGGATAAAGAAGTGCTTTTAAAACACAAGATAAAGAGATAACAAGTCTAAATTCAGACCCAGGTTTACATCATACAGAAAGAAGAAATCATCAAGAAGAAACAAGAAAATGTGAAGTAAATTCATGATCAAGTCCATTTTAGCTTTTAGCACCTATGGTGTAGTTTGCTAGCATTTCTGAGCCACAGATTTCTCATCTGTTATCCAAAGGTGATAGACTGTCATTAGAGTCACCTAAGAAACTCATAAGTATGGAAATTGATCAGAAATATGGGCTATCATATACTCTAGACTTTTCCTCCATGCTTTTTGCCGGGTGGCTATGTTCTATGACTGGTAAGGAGGTCAGACCCTTCCATATAAAGCTTGGAATAAAGTGCTGCTAAAAAAGAAAACTATAGTGAAGATCCACAAAGGAAGAACAGAGAATGTGCCTATCACCTTGACTCTGTTCAAGGTTGCCATATAGACCATAGCCAACACTTGAGTAGTTCATGTAATTTTCATAAGGGGACTTATACTCAAGGAATGGAGGGCAAAGCAATCACACTAAAACAAAATGTGCCAATTCTTCCAGTATGTAAATTTTAAGAATCAGTAATGCATAAACTACTTTGAAAGCAACTGTATGTTTTATTATTGTAATGTAATTTGCACTATGATATTGTCATGTTCAAGCAAACTTAAAATACTCTGATATCTAATGCCAAATGTACAGTTCATAGGTTCATGTTATTTCTTATAAGAATTACATTGCATTGTGCCAGTTGATTAATGCTATTAACTTGCCCTGGGTGTGTTATGATGCAGATCCAACAGGGTTGTTGTAAGCACACTAATTAGTCATCTAGGGTTTTATAGATAAAATCACACATTGATCAGAAATCACTTTTCTACTTATTTTTTTGTAGAGTATTTTTTCACACCTGAGAAAACATGATTATTTTATATCAAACATCAGTTTTTCTTTAAAATCTTATTTTAGTAGCCAATGCATGTTTGAAATAAGATGTTAAATATTATATGATAATATTAAGGTTGTGTTTGTAAGTGAAAATATGCATGCTGTAATGAATCATGCAGGTTTGAGGGTGCGTTTTTCCACTGCCATCTTCCACAAAAGCTTTGTCTTAATCTGTGCATGATTTACATCCTTTCAAGAGTCCTATTTCAGTATTTATAAAGTGATATGTGAGTCTTAGTGCTGATGAGCCCCTGAGACAAGGTGCAATACTGTTCTGCTTTAGTTTTTCTTCTAATTTTGCATTATAGTGTTGTAAATTTTCCCAGAAAACTTTCTCTTGGAGTTGTTGGCAATTAACTACAAAAAATAAAACAATTTCCTGGTAAATCTTACCACTGACTGCATAGCAACTTAATGTGTCAGAGCATGAAGATGTGAAAAAGTCATTTTTACAAGTTCCATTATATGAATACAATATTCTGGCAGCTTTTTGTACAATCAAGAAAAAGCTTATCATTGTTTGAAACACTGCCAAATCAGTACTACTGCCAAAAGGGAGAACCATTAAGTCAGACCTGCATTACACTAACTTGAGCAATAAGAGACTATCCAGACCACAGCCAACTGGTACAGCAGAGATGGGGGAATGGTAGACCAAAACTTTTGTTTCTTAGTAATTTGAAAAATGTAAGAGTATGAATTTTGGCAATAGAGACATGCCTTTACATGCTGATAATTCACAACGATCTTTGAAAATAAAACTGATCCCATTCTGTAAAGGATGTGTCCAGGCATTTTGTTTCTTTGGTCTGATTTATTTTTTGAAAAGCCTAATTTCAAGCAGGTACTATCTGAAGACCAACCTCTCCCTCTCCATATGAAAAGTCATTTTTCATAACACATAATGGGTAGAACATAGCTTTTCAATTCAAATCACCAGTATAAACATTTACAATGTTGGAAGGTGATTTCACTGTTATGTTATCAAAGCGATGGAAATCCTAGTTATCTGTTTATTTGTTTATTTATCTACAGAATATTGCTTCTTTGAGGTCTAATTTTATCAGCAACAATGAAGTTAATATAACGCTAAAAAAATTGACTCTAGTTACTATTTCAAGTCAAAATCCTGAAGCTGAATCCTGTTGTAGTCCAAAAGAAAAACATTGATTTACATAATGATCAGCCAGTCTGTCCAGGCTCAGAAAGGATGACTACAGCAGTTATGTTATCATAAGTGTGAGCAGTCCAGTCTGCCACAGAATGGATGACTGCATTGTATCATTCATTCATGATATTGCAAGTGTGGGAAAGAATAACTATGCCATTCATGACACTGTAGGGGTGTAACACTCAGCAAGCATCTGATCTGGTCTCCTAGTTTGATACTGCATGCATCCCTTCATTGAGTTTACCTGTAAGTAACAACACTTTGTGGCAGCTAAGCAAATATTTTAATAAGCCATGAAAGGCAAGATGTCATAGGAAATCTGTACTTTCTGCTATTTGGAGAAATTGTACTTTCCATAACTTAAACTGGAATTGCCATTTGAAATTTCCTTCCCTTAAAAATATGCCATTGCAATGTATGTTCCTGTTCATTGATGCCTTTTCAAGCTTATAACTATATGATGTGACTGCTACAATTTTGTGAAATTTTGTTTAGCAATTAATGGTTTTTATAACCTGCACAAAGATTCCAATGCAGAAGTAAATGTGTAAAGAATTTGAGCCTGTATGTAAGATGTCTCTTCCTTATGTGACATTTACTATATTCAATGTAAATACCTCACTGATTTCACACTGGAGTTATTAGATGTGTAAATAATGATGTTCTACTTGGGCCTAATGAATTCCTGTAACGTGAATATTTAAAATAAAAGGTTTCAATTTAAATGTACAATAGTTTTGGTTATTTAAAATGGTGACGTTCAATGAATTCCCTTGGAATCTATTCACTCACATGCAAATCTAGAATTGCTGATATTGAATTAAAATACATTTATCAGATTACACATTCATCATAGATATCAAACCAAACGTCAACAACCAGTGTACACATGGAGATTATTTAAGCATTGGTTTAATGGGTTCAATACTGCAACTAGACCCATTAATAATTGGACTTCACTGTATGGGGATCAAGACAACCTCATTCTGTCCTGATTCTAACCTTAAAGAATTTGTTTTCTGTTTTCTCTAGTCTCTGATTCTATACATCCCCACCTCAGTCTTCTAATTCAGGCCTGCAGAGTCAACAATGTGTGTATATGTATACACACACACACACACACACACACACACACACACACACACACACACACACACTGTGGATATCTCCTTTCAACCACCTGCTTCTTCTGATTGCCATCAGTCATCTAATAACATAAAGACAACTGTGGAAGAATTTCAACACATCAACACATCGCCCTTCTCCCATCCTTTATGTAATGGTATTGGTGTAAATTGCAAGCCTGATTCTTTTTCTTTTCATTGAATTGATCACTTTTTCTTCTGAATTGTTGCCATGGCTTCATTAAGTTGACATAATTTGAAAGAATATCTACCTGCACTGACCAACTCTTCAAAGTTTCAGAATCCATGTTTGACATTATCTCTAATAATGGAAATAAATAATTAATAAAATATGACAGAGGAAAAGTTCTACTAGAGTGAACCAGTGATCCCAATTGCTCTACCCCTTCCCCAAAACTCAGACACTTATTAGGATCCTTCATGGATTTGTCCATTTTTAGATAAACTCCTCACTTCATAGCAGGTTATTTTGTTCTTTTATATTTGACTACCTCACAAATTTTATAGACTCTTCTTTGCTTCTAACTCACCCTCCATTGACAACTCCCACATCACTCACTTCCCAGGCAGTCCTGCCATTGGCATGTTCCATGTGATCCACTTCCCAGGAAATTTCTATCCCTGGTAAAGTCCTAGCATCCTTAATATTACATTCTAAGAAATATATGCTATGACTCAAAATATATTCCAGATATTTCAAAATATTCTAAAGCAAAAGGAAGCAGAAAAGGTGGTTATTATTTTTGTAGAAGTGAGAATTTAGTTAGCAAATTAGATAAGCCCTTCAATGGGGATATGAGCAAAGTCTCAGGGACAGAATAAAGTAAACAAGCTTTGTAATTTTAATGACACATTCATGAAAATAGGCATAGGGGTATTTGTAATATATGAGAATATGAAGAGCTTGACATACAAAGTAATAAATGTATAGTAGGTTAGATGATTGGAGCTGGTTTACCTTGATTTGATTTATACGGCAGCATCAAAAGTTCTTCAAAATTTATCAGCAGATGTGCAGTAAGTGGAAACCACAAAATACATAATTATGATAATGTAAATTGTTTAAAAATAACCAGTATTAAGTGACATATCAATTCTTGTGTCTAAATGCAAGGTATGTTAAGATACAGTATATGTATTTAGCTAAAAGAGAAGAATGATATGGAAGGCCAAAATATCTGAGTCCTGGAGATAGACTGCTCATGTTCCATTCTCAGATCTCCCTCTTCTAACTGTAAAACTCATGAGCACCATTTCACTATTTCTTCATCTTAAAAACTAGAAGCTCCCATTAGTTTGGGTTGGTTATCTCTGTACATTTCCCCATCATGATCTTGATTCCCCTTGTTCATAGAATTCCTCTTCTCTCTCTTCAACTGGATTCCTGGAGCTCAGCATGGTGCTTGGCTATGGATCTCTGCATTTGCTTCCATCAGTTACTGGATGAAGGCTCTGTAATGACAATCAGGGTATTCACCAGTCTGATTACTGGGGTAGGCCAGTTCAGGCACCCTCTCCACTATTGCTATTAGTCTAAGCTGGGGTCATCCTTGTGGATTTCTGGGAACTTCCCTAGCACCTGGTTTCTCCTTATCCCCACAATGTCTTCATGAACTTTAGACCAACAGCTGTGGAGCCAAATGGGACTGGACTAGGCCCTCTGCATAGGTGAGACAGTTGTGTAGCTTGACCTGCTTAAGGAGACCCCTGGCAGTGAGATCAGGATTTATCCTTGGTGCATGAACAGGATTTTGGAGCCCAGTGCCTAAAGTGGGACACCTTACACAGCCTTGGTGTAGGGGAAGGGGCTTGGATCTGCTTCAACTGAATGTACCAGGCTCTGCTGACTCCCCATGGGAGGCCTTGCCTTGAAGGAGGTAGGAATAGGGGGCTGGGTTGGGATTGGGAAGGCTGGGGGGTGGGAGGAAGGAAGAGAGGGGGATTTGTCATTAGTATGTAAAATGAATAGAAAATCTTTTAATAATAAAAACGAAGAAGAAAAACAAAACTAGGATCATAGCTCAATCTTAAAGTACTTGGCTAGCATATATGAGGATCCTAGTTGATCCCAAGCACCATAAAAAAGGCACATTAAGTAAACTAATACACCAAATAGATTTACAAGAGGACCGGACTAAGTAGTAGTGCAAGTATTTTCCACATCTTCAGTCCTTCCAAACATTTTTAAACCATTTCTTCTAAAATATACTGTGTTATTAATTCAATTACTATTACATTATGTGGGAAGACAGTGAAAATGCTTTCATCACAAAGAATGTAGCTTGATGTTTCAGAGAGTCAAGAAAAATGTTGAATATTTGAAAACCTACAGTCAATGATCAAATACCCTGAAACAAACAAACAAACAAACAAACAAAAAACCTGTAATCACATCTGAAACTCTGGGAGTCACCAAATATAAAGCAAACTGGTAACAGTGGTAACTATTATTTTACAAGCATTTTGACAACCTTTTGGGGACACAGTCTCCGTTTGAGAAAAGCTGAGAACTGTTTATCAGGTAGGTAATGGCCTTTATTTCTCCTCTATCTTATACTATGAAATCATTTTAGAAATGGGAATATATTCAAAAGTGATATGTTGCCAAAGTTATCAGGGTTATGAGTCTGATTTCCAGAAGCCTGGTGGACAGAAAGAATGACAGCAGAGTCTGGAAAACGAAGACATAGATTATTATTAGAGGGTCAGCATTTCTTTCACATTGCCAGATTCTTCCAGAATGCAAAATTTAAAGCCCCAAATCTATAAGCAGCTTTACACGTCCAGATTTTCATTATTCAAACTGTAAGTTCTTTAACCACAAATACATGTGTAATCTATTACTTTAGAAACATAAACATTTATATGGCTGTTGCTGTATGATCTACACCTGCTGTTTATTTAGAAATCGACAAATTATAAATTGTCATTCTTAGTAAATATTGTTTCAAATAGTGTCTGTTGAATCTGTTTCTCATGTTAGTCAAGTGTTACACTCTTGTGCTTGTTACTCAGGGTGTGTGTGTGTGTGTGTGTGTGTGTGTGTGTGTGAGTGAGTGGTCAAAAACAGTTACAAAAGTGATTTAAAAAACATTGCTTTTTAAGAAGGTCAGCTTACATTTCAGAAACTAAGATAACAAGTCAGGTCCTTTGAGCCATTCTCCTCTAAAGTCCATTGCTGTTTCTTCTCTGGTTTCAGTCATCGTCCAATGCCTGTCTTTCCCAGAGGACTGTGGCGTACACTAATTGTTCTAGACCTAAGAAGTCACAATGATTCTAGAAAATATTCTATGCCCAATATGGAAATCAGCACACTCTTCTTTTTAATAATACATACGGTTTTTCTGAAAATGGTCAAGTATCTGTGTTCATGGATTCTAAATTCTGCCGGGCGGTGGTGGCGCACGCCTTTAATCCCAGCACCTGGGAGGCAGAGCTAGGCAGATCTCTGTGAGTTCGAGGCCAGCCTGGTCTACAGAGATCCAGGACAGGCACTAAAACAACATGGAGAAACCCTGTCTAGAAAAAAACTAAAAAACAAAACCAAAAAAATAATAATAATAAACATTTGTAATATGTTTTGTTCATTTCTACCCCCATCACTCTCTTACTAACCCTTTTATTCCTCCTGAATTCCTCTTCAAAAGTCCCCCTCCTATTTCCACATCTAGCTTGCTTTTTTGCTTTATATTTATTTTAATCACTGTGTTTAATTATGTTTGTTTTTATTAATAAGTATAAATGAGGAGTTATTTGCTTGAGCATGGACTGTTCATCAGTGAAGAAATTGATAATACCCTCCAGTAATTAATAGCTACCCATTGTCATTGGGCAGGGATGGAGCCTCAGGGCCCTCTCCTCTGTTTGATGGAGGGTTGATGGTCCCCATTTGTGTAGGTCTTTTTCAGGTAACCATAACTGGTATAGGCTCATTAATGGAAGAGCCATGTCATGTCTGAAAGATAACATTTCATACCACTTCTTCCTATCCTCCAGCTCTTAGATTCTTTCCACCCCCTCTTCCATACTCACTGAGCCTTTGAGGGCATAAAAAATGTTATGTTTAGGGCTGAACACTTGACATCTGCTTATTCTCTGCACTTTTTCCTCATACATAGTTACCCACTGCAAATAGACAATTCTCTGAACAAGGCTGAAAGAAACACTAATTTATGGGGTTAAATGTAAATATTTAGAAGGCATTTCAAACAATAAATCAACGTAACTATTAGGAGGGAACTCCAGCAGGCTGTAAAACGACATCCAATCTGTTTCACACTTTCTAGTCTAGACACTCAACTAAGATGAAGCCAAAACTTTTGAATATAAAAAAGGAGGGGTTGTGGCATGTGTACATGAGTGATGTATGTTTCAGCATGCGTACGTGAGTGGTATACGTTCATGTTTTGGCATTTATACGTGAATGGAGTAGGTTTATGTTTGGTATGTATATGTGAGTGGTGTAAAGGGAAGGGATGGGAAGAGGGGATCAGAGTGGACACATACCACCCTGCCATGTGGTTTTTTCCACTAAGCATAATGCAACAAGAACTCTCACTGAATGCCTACCAAATGCCAGT